CGCGCTTGTTTTTAAAAGGTTCCTTCATGTAATGATCTGCTAGAGGGTGTGGGGGGGCCACAGCCCCGTCCTCCAGGGCATGAAGCAGGTATGGAGGAGATCAAAACTCCAGACATCCAGAGGTCCCAAGAGCACAAGAGACCAAGGAAGACCAACAGAGGGGCAGCCGTGCCACTGTCCCAGAAAGAGCTGAGGAGAGTCCCAGATGAGGGGTCACCCAGCAGCCGCGGAGCAGAAGCCAGGGGGGGTTGCAGTGATGTGCCCGTGAGCTCCAGCTTATCAATATTGCACTTTATGGCCTAAGGGATGTATTGAAAATGCAACCAAAAGGTCAGCTGAGTGCAGTTGTAAAGAGTAACAAAATCTGAAAAATGTAAAAATTTTTAGTAGACATACTTCTTTGTTTTTAATTGCAAAAGATGTTTTTTTTTTTCAGTTTTACTTGTTGCACTGTATGTGAGAAATGACCAAAAGAGTACATTTATATTTTTACATCACCTGGAGTTAAAGTGGTTATTCTGCCTTTACTTTATTTGCTCATATTAGACATGACTATAGATTCAGGTGGTGTATATGAAGTAATCTCTGAGCCAAAAACTCGAGCTTCAACCTTCTCAAAACACTTTTTTTAATACACTAGAGACAGGATGTTCCTAATATGGTTGTCTAAGGCACAGTGCTTTGGTTGTGAGTGCAGATGCTCCACCCAACTGCTGTTCAAACCTCCACTCTGCATGGGCACTCAATCAAAAAACAGTTGAAATGTTTCAGCCCCAGTGTAAGATAATTATTATTTTTAACAGTGAATCACATAAAGTTTCTTCCTACAGTAAAAAAATAATGCTTGCTAATCAAACACATAAATTAAACCAGTACTCATTTTAAAATTAATCCTGTCAAATAAATGCAATAATTAATGGTTTATGATCCAGGGTAAGCGAAAGCCCTCTCTCCTCAATAGGAGAACAGTATTTTCTCCGATGTGTGCAGGCTGCTGCAGTGTGCACATCTTTTAGATTAACTACACCTTACATCACGGTGCATCACAGCCCATGAGTTAATAAAGCCATTTATCTTGTTTGCAACATAAGCAGATGCAACCTTCATCTCATATTGGTGCTGAAACCACACCGTAGCGCATCATATAGATCTTAAACTGCAACCTTAATTGTCTTGTTTCGGCACTTTTGGGATATAATATAGAAGAAAAGAAAACAAACAAACACGTGAAGCTTGTCATTACCTCTGATACTCACAGGCTGGAACTGCTGAGTGGTTGTTTCACACACTGATTGCCCTCTAGTGGTTTGCTGGGGTCAGGACACATACGTTCACCAGTGACAGGGTAAGTGACGTTTGACAACCTTTGCTCGTTCTGTGCATGGCCAGTAATGCACAAAAATCACACTAAGTCAAAACATACAAACAAAATAAAATTCTTGGATTTGCAGGACTCACAAACACGGTACAGCAAGCCAAATCCTCTCTGCCATCACCTGCCAGCCACTTTGATGCATTGCACCACAGCTCGGATGAGAAAGCGTGGAATGATAATGTGCATAATTCACCAAAAAAGATCCTGTGATCATTCGCTTGTAGAAATCTTCAAAGCATGGAGGAGAGTGGAGACGGAGTGCATTGTAGAAAAAGAGAGATTTTTTTCCCCTCCTCTTTTTCACAAGTTATATTTAGACACTCGTGGTATTCTTTGCTGTCTGATGATGAAATAAGTTCAGTCTTGAGCTCCATGGTCACAGTGCATGCTCACGAAGAGAATATTTTCTTGATCTCTGGCTCACGGTGAATCTTTAGCTTCATTTCATAGAAGGCCATCGTGCCAAAGGTTGCTACAGTAACAGTGACAGGAGTGGCTGTAACGCCAGAACCCATGTGACCCTTGAAAGAAATACAGACTGAAGTGGCTGAAGCGTGAGCCTCATATTCTCCTCCTCACACGTCGATAAGGAGGAACCTGTGTTGGGTGGCAAATTGGAAAACACACATGGGAGTGTGTGTTATTCTTGTCAAGCTCACAGCTTGCGATTTAATTCAGCTGTGGAGAGATGCTATCCTTCTTTCTGCTTTAAGACGGAGAGATGGCCTTTTTACAAAAATCTCAGTGGACCGTTTCCTTCCTTCACTGCAGAGAGGAGATGGTTTTGTGCCAGTGATGAATGATGAAGATATGATTTTATAGCCTCTTATTGATTCTTATGACTTCAAGCAGGTAGTTAGGGTATTGTATCCACTCCATCAGCTGCTTCATCTAGTTATGATGAAAAACAAACTGACCCCTCGGGAAAATCGGTGAAGGATTGAGGTTTCAAGGTTAATGACTATTTTGTCAGTGAATATTCTAAATCTGATTGTTGAG